TATTTATTTATTTATTTATTTATTTATTTATTTTTTTGAGTCGGTACGCGATAATTCAGGTAGAGGTACATAGGAAAACCTTTGCGCACCGAGTTTTCCAGACAGAAATTCACTTTTTGGATGTTTACTATTTTTGATGTCTGTCTAGCCAGTCCGAGAACTAATTCTCACTTGGGGTAAAGGCCAGTTAAAGTTATGGTTTGCTGTTAAACTCGCTGCAAAAAAACTCCCGCATTTTACGTTGTACACGCTGGAATAAGAGAACTAGCAAGTCCTACTGCAAAATAAGGGCCAGGCAGTCCAAACTTAACTTGAAAAAGAGACGCTGTAAGTTCAGCCGAAAATTCCGGAACTCTTGAAACGGGGTCAAATGGCATAGAAATTTCCTACGAAAGTTTCCGAAAAATCCGAAATGGGAGCTATATAACCAAAAATTACTGACATTTCGGATAGGAAAATCAAGTGGAACTCAAATTCCCGGTAACGAAATTTCAGACATTTTTGGTATAGCTTTAAAAAATGATATTTCCATTCGCCACTGGAAATTTCCGGTAATGCAAACCGGAGTTTTTGGTTGATTGGAAAGCACCCCAGGTTTAGGATCATTCACGACTTTAAATCTAGCAGTCTAGATATTCATAGATGCCTCGTTGGCGCAGTAGGCAGCGCGTCAGTCTCATAATCTAACTTAGAAATCTGAAGGTCGTGAGTTCGATCCTCACACGGGGCATGAATATTTTGATATAGCTAAGAATGTCGTTAATTTTTGCCGCCCATTGAGACCATAAAACGAGCAAGATCAGCGCTTTTACTGTGAGAAAAAACTGAACACTCTTGTTAATATGAAGGGCGCTCATTCTAAAGTCACTAAAAAATGTGTACACCTGAACAACGTCAATTGTTCAATTATTTTAAATTTGTCTTCACTATAAATGTTTCAGTCTCTAGCGAATGATTTAATTTAATGATTCAGACAACAATCTGTTCTGTAACTAGACTTGCCTAGTAAACCTGAAGTTATACCAGAAACTTTAAAGACATCTTTATTAAAAACTGAATCATTGGATAATCCAATTCAATAGCCACGTTCATTGGCTTAGCCATCATGGATTATGAGCCATTATACCATGCTCTACAAATATGGTAAGCGTACGCGTGAATTCTTGAGACGTTTTTATTTTTATTTTAGTTTATTTTTCTATATTTTGGGGGAGTTTTACAGTCAAACCGGATGTTCTTTAGATGAGAACTTTGCAAACTGTCAATCAAATATCAATGTTGAGGCGGAAGTTTGCAAAGTTCCCATCAAAAGAACATCCGGTTTGACTGTAAATAAAACAGTTATTCCACTCGCGCTTGTTAGATATAAGATGATTATAGCCAACTCATATCAAACGCGTGCTCGTAGAATAATTGTTAAATGCGTATGTAGTATATACCTTTCGATTGCTGTTTTCTTTGTATTCGGCATAGTGTGCACCATCCTGACTGAACGTCAAATAATACTGAGTCACCCACTGACGGGCGTCATGTCGTCCTTGAGTAGCGAACTTCACCACCCTTGTCGGGCGACCAAAGTTCACCTGAAACCATTGAAGACGGTTGTTATGGCGTGCGCACCAGGCCCCCATTCGCGCGCCGACACGATGCAGATGAAGCCTGCCATTGTTAGGTGCATGGTTCCTGTCCCAGCTGGACGAAGCGGTAATTTGTGCCGCGCGAATGCGGCCGTTTTGCATTCCTAGAGGCTTGTTGCATCGCGCACCTAGGTAAAGAATAACCATTTTTGAATGAAAATATGGAACAGCGTTAATCAACCTTAGTTAGCCCTTTGTACACAGCCGTGACCACGAGGCGGGTTTGGGTCTGTTTGGCCCTCGCTCTGAGGCAAGGCCGTACTCAAGTTATCGACCTGCTAGTTTAAACAAAACTCAAATAAAAGAAACGTGAAAAAGGTTTGCTGCGCTTAAGTTATGTTTAAGCCATACTTAAGAATTCAGTTTCAGATCAATCTACAAACTAATTCAGAAGTTGAATGTGGTACAAAATCGTTAAACTTAGTCAAAGCTCGAAGTTTTTGAATAGGTTTTCTAACAGTTCATTCTCAGCCGTAATATTTTTTCTCGCTCTTGAAAGAAAATATGAAGTACTTGCTAGCTCACAGGCCTTGATTGATGATAAGTATGGGTAATCAAATGGTGAGGAAACAAGGAAATAATTTTCCGAGTGTTTTGTCAAAATTTTAATAATTAAAAGGCGAGAGAAATAATTAGAATTTTGACAAAACGCAAGTGAAATTATTTCTTAATTTTACGAGTGTACCGTTTCACTACCGTGACCTTCTAATGTCATAGATGACTAATTACGCTTACAATCGCGGGCTTTTGACTTGTTTATTGTATCGAGAAATTTTGCGCGAAACGTTCCCATGGCAATATTGAAATTTCACATGTGAAATTATAGATTAACGCTGAAATTTCGCGCCAAAATTAGGGAGTAATTTGTCACCCATGATATTAATGTGCATGTTTACAATCAGGGGGTAAACAAAAACAGAGAACCGGAAGTGATATCCAAACTCACCGACAACACAACCATATAATTCCACTCTCATTGATATCCAGCTATACCACGTGATTGGGTGGAATCTAAAGTAGCGTCCTAAGATTGGATGACGGAGTCTATGACGTACGATCACGTGCTGATCGTAGTTAGCTGGGAATACCTGAAATAAAAATCCATTACGTTATGCAAGACTTCAAGAACACGGCTCACAACACAGGTAGCAGAGGAGTCCTATTTGCGCGAATCGGTCTGTTATTGATTCGAGTCACCGTGCAGTGCGCATGCGATCGTGTTACGCGCCTGTAGAAATCTTCTATACCAGCGACAATTGTCGAAGCTCTCCGTACGAGGCACGAAGTTCCGATAGGGAAAAAAGAGACAAGGTCTCTCTCTTAGCTTTTAGTCACCACTAGTGATAAGTCCACAGTCATAACTGTACGCTGCTTTCGTATTGTACATTAATACAGACGCGTAACACGATTGCGTACATCGTATCAACTACAGACCGATTCGCGCGGAAATATTGTACCGTAATACATACCGTCGGGCGTTTGATTGTCCAACGCGTTCCCTATTTGTTAATAAGCTATGGAACATGATTGCGACTGTTTCCGAACTAACCTTGGTTCGCCCTCCTTCTTTGTAAGTTATAAACTTGTATCCGTTCTTGCTGTATGACAGAGAATACGACTTCACCCACTGGGCGGAGTTCTGTCTTCCTTGAGAAGCAATACGATACACTTTTGTAAGAGCGCCAAAATCAATCTGAAGCCACTGGCGTCTGTCTCGCCTCTTTGCGCACCAGGCCCCTCCGTATCGACCATGTCTGCGCCCGTTCAATCGTCCACTCCAAGGTCCGCACCAGTAGTTATAGTACGAGGAAGCGCGTATCATCTTATTGTGGACGCGTTTGTCCTCGAGACCAAGTGGCATGTCACAGCGATCTGGAACAAAGAAAAAAAAAACCAGTATTAAAGCAAAAGCACTTTTTCCCAAATCACCATCACGTCTCGTTGTCTAAGAGCCGCCTGTCCTCTGGATATCTTTGGCGATTCCAGCAAAACAACACAACATACTCGCTGAGAAACAAAATACGCCAATTCCCAGAATTTGTTTTTTATCGCATACGGAGCAAATTACCGAATGCTGATTGGCTGAGACAGAAGGCATTTTTTTCACATAGTAAGTTTTCATATGTGGGATGAATCTTCCCGTAATTAACAATTAGATTATGAGCTCGAGATTTCTATCGAGGGCGCAGCCCCAGGAAGCTCTTACGCATAGAAATCGAGAGCGAATAATCTGATTGTTTTAGTGTAAATCCACTAGTCGTTCAAAATTTGCATAAATCCTCTGCAAAAGCACTTCGAAAACGCCAAGAAGCGACCGCCATTATGTTCCCAGCCGCACACTGCTAGGCTGATCACTAGCTACAACAGAATAGATAGTGAAAAGAGTATGTAAAATACTTTTTTTTAAGTTACTTACTCCACGGACTTCCATACAACTCCAGTCTCATGGAAATATGTGCTCGCCAGCCTCGTGGTATGATCCGAACATACCGACAGTATATTGCCGGGTTGATTGGGTGGGTTTGGATAGACAGTTGATCACGGTTTCCTTGAAAAGTCTGTGTGAATGCAAAAGAATGGTTTAAGCAACTTAGAAGAAATCTTGGACTGAAGTGAAAGTAATTTACTTATTAAAGCGCAAGACAATAACTCGTTAGAAAAATTTAACATGGCTGGTCCAACTTATGACAAAAAAAATACCCCTTTATTATTTTTTTTCTTTATTTTTCTTTTTTGTAATACCACACTTTAGTTACAATTTTACATTACTTAACTTAGGGGCTGTTTACATGATACCGGGATGATTTTCATTCTGGAACGACTTCATTCCATCCCCATATATTTCTCTGCCGGTATCTGTTTACATGATAACGAGTCGAAATTTTATTTCCTTACAAGCCATTCTGGAATGAGTTCATTCTGGTTTTCAATCTGAAAGAAATCCTCGTTCTGGAATGAAATTTTATTCTTGTATCAAGTAAAGTGAAAACGAAAATCATAAACCATGTAGTCTGGGGCGGGTGTCGCATGCGTATCGTTTACAAGATGGCGGAAATCTGATCTGGCGCGAAAACCTGGGCCCATCGATTGTGTCATGTGAATGCAGCACGAACTTCATTCTAGAATGAAACTCATTCCTGAATGAAAGTCATTCCAGAATCATGTGAATAGCCCCTTACTTACATCACCTGTATCACTTACCAATTACAATAAAAAGCAACAATGCTCACAGCACTTCCGATACTTACAACACTAACATAACGTTTTAACAAGAATTGATTCTACTTAACAATAACACTACAAATAACAAGGACAAATCTAACAAATAATACAACTAACAGATACAATACTACTACTACAATTGCAACTACTACTACTACTACTACTACTACTACTACTACTACTACTACTACCACTACTACTGCTGCTGCTACTACTACTACTACTGCCACTGCTACTGCTACTGCTAGTGCTACTGCTACTGCTACTGCCACTGCTACTGCTACTACTACTACTACTACTGCTGCTGCTGCTGCTGCTGCTACTGCTACTACTAGTACTGCCGCTGCTGCTGCTGCTGCTACTGCCAGAGCAACAACTACATTACTCTAACAAACAAAAGTAAATATAAAACAAAGACTGAGAAAAAGACCAAAACATAATGGAATAAAATCAACGAACTTGCTTACCTTTACGGCATAATTCCACCAGTACCTCACTTTAGAGAAGAACACTCCGTCATAACCATAGTAAATATAATACGCAGTCACCCATTGGACGGCATCTTGTCGGCCTTGTGTCGCAATACCAGTGATCTTCATTGCTCTTCTGAAGTCGATCTGTAACCACTGATGGTGGTTGTTATGGCGGGAAGACCACGACCCGATATAAGGGCCTCGTTTGGTGCGGTGCAAGCGAGCCAGCCATGGTGCGTGATGTTTGTTCCACTGAGAGGAGGCAGTGATTTGGCTATTTTTGATACGACCGGATTGGAGACCCACTGGGGCATCGCAAAAGTTTTCTGAGAAAAAAAACGCGGCATGAAATTGGTTACTGTTCTTAAAACCAGTCATAGATTTATCATGGCCTGTAAAACTAACTAACTTCACCATTCACGCTCCAATCAGAGCAGCTACACCGTCCTACGTCATTATTGTGAGACTTTTTGGTTGCACAGGTATCTTTTACTCTGGCTGGATTAAATGAGAGGTACAAAAATTAGCAAAATTAATTCTTCGATTCTTTCTTTGTTATGATAAAGGTCCGGTGCATTTTTCTTCCATTTGCATTATATATCTAGCATGAGTGTATTGCTAGTTTACGATTGTTTTGTAGCGTAACATGGTACCGTGGATCATTTGTCTGTTTTCAGCTCTCTATCTCATTCGTATAATTACCTTTCAATCGTCCTCCATAAAGTTCAACCCTCATAGCAATATATGAACGCCAGCCTTTAGGGTGTATCCTGATGTAGCGTGCTCTAATTGCGGGGAGTATCTTACGTGAAACTGTGTGATAAATGTCGTAGTTACCAATGAAGACCTAAACGTTGAAAGAAGAAAAGAAACGAAGACATCATTGATCATCGCAGTTATACACACAACCTAAGCAGTTGTGAAATTTGAGCATTTGAAAAGACTCCCGCCTAGGCTTCAGTTCCAAGCTAGTGCCAGTCCAATATTGAGAATACGAATATGGCCTATTTCTGTCATCCCACATTCTGACACCATTTTTACCCTCATCTCGCATCCCGCCAAATCTATGTAGGGGACCCTCTGGAAATAAATTACAGGGGTTTGCTTACCTTGATGCGTCCATATGACACATAGCTTCTAAACCGAGCTCCGAAGCGACTGTAGGACATCTGATATTTGGTGACCCATTGGTGAGCTTCTCTTCTTCCTTGTGTAGCGATTCCTTTGATGATACTCAACTCCCGCAAGTCAATCTGAAGAAACTGATGGGTGTTTCGATACTTTGCTACCCAGGCCCCTGTTCGTCCATGACTGTTGTAGATGTTCAGACGCGCTCGGTCAGGTCCGTGGTTGTAGTTGTACGACGACGAGGCCCGAAGATGACCCGAGAGGATACGATAGTCTTCCATACCGAGAGGCATCGTGAAACGGTCTGAAAATAATTCGTACGAAAATAATACGGTTAACTGAATACTTGACGACAACTCTAAGAACGTTATCTAAGAACTCCGGGATTTTGTTCGTACTATAGGAAAAACTCGATCAGCTACCGGGGAGCTGCACTTTGGAACACAGCACACCGGTACTATACTGATAATTTTAAGCAATTCTATGCCAAAGTTAGAAAAGACGTTTTTATTAAACAATTAAACTTAAATTGCGACCTCGATTCAAACGCGAAGCAAGGACGTGACGGATTTTTAGTTTTCTTAATGTGAATGAAATAATACGTATATGATTATCATTATTACAGTACATATTTCTGTTTTTCTTAAACGTTTGTATACACGACCCCACAAGCAAATCTGTCGCTTTAAACCAACTCAAATCGTGTTTAAATAAAGAATTGTCATTGTTGTTGTTGTTATCTTATATGTGAGATGTGTTGCGTGCTATTACTATCAATCATTTACAAAGCTGTTCATAACTTTAAAAAGATGCGTTTTTTATAGAGCTTGTAAAAGTGCTAACGACAGGAACAAGTCAACTAGTTTAGCTCTGTAGTTATTTTGGGTGATCAGCTACAATGCATATTTCAAATTTTTATGTTCTATTTAATCCTGCAGACTACAATACAAATAAATGTTGCCTTGTCTCGTCTTGTTCAATGCGCGTGCCCCTCTTTTAGACTGATGTCAGATGTTATATCAGTTTTGGTGTCCGTATTATATTCCATGAAAATACTAAAATATTAAAACTAGTGAGGTTTACCGATTCGACACCCGTAGAACTCCACTCTCATAGAGATATGAGCGTGCCATCCCCATGGATGTATTCGGATGTACTGTCCTCGAATAGCAGGAATGAAGGGGTGTGACACTATCGTGTTGCGATCGCGGTTAGCACTGAAATACTGAAATACGAAAGAGGAAAACTTAGTTTGCCGTCCACCGCGTCACCATGACGTCACATGAACATACTGTATGATACTGCAGCTGCTTTAAGCGGGAGGAAGCTTTAAACGAGGGAAACCCAGACGTCCCGGAGCAAATAACATGAGACAGACCTGCAAAGCACTTGTTGTCGTTATACGCAAAAACTGGGACCTTATTACTTGGTCTTTTTGCATTTTACTGCTTGCCATTGCTGTTGACCTTCGCGGGGCAAGCTATCACAAGCTGTACTATCGGACAAAAAATTGTCTCGCTTCAATTCTTTCTCGTCGTTTGAAGATAACGCTCTCAAAACCCAGAATGACTTATGATATGTCAGTCGGCCAGCAATTGAATGGCTCCAATTACCTTGGCGCTGAAGGACACATTTGTAAGAAAGATGTGAGTAGTTGCGACGTGCTAAATTGAGAGACTTGAAGCAACGCGATTAATTGACCTTTTACTCCCGAGCTCAATAAATGCTAGCTTCTCTGTACGTTCAGTAACAAATTCAAGTAGCCAGAATAAAGACCTCGGTCATATCAGAAAAGCATTAAAAACAAAAATAACAAAGTCACGTATTACCTTCCTGCTGTTTCGTTCTTTGTACTCTGAAAAGTGAACTCTATCCAAACTGTGCGTTATATAATACTGTGTCACCCACTGATTCGTGTCATGTCTTCCCTGGGTAGAAATTCGGATTATTTTGGCTGCTCCTCCGAAGTAGACCTGTAGCCACTGGTACCTAGTGTTGTATCTTGAAGACCATGACCCCATAACATTGCCGCGGCGACGGTTATGAAGACGAGCCAGATGAGCGGCGTGGTTCACGTCCCATATGGACGAGGCTGTGATCATGTGATTTTTAAGACGGCCAGACTGCATTCCCATTGGTCGGTTACAGAGTGGACCTATAACCGGAAAGAGAATAGATAGAGGATGTAATCCTTAGAATGAGGCGAATAACAGAACAAGACAACCACGATATTCTACGGTAATATTCTGGCGTAAAGTAAAGTTTTAACGCTGTGCGCCTCAATTTAAAAGCTATTTTGCTTTTTTATAATGTGATGGCATTTCCGTTCTCTTAGCAAGTTCAAATGCTTTGTCATCATTATTGTACAACGTTTGAAAAAATTGGAATGAACTGAGCTGAGTTCAAAAAACAGATTGATCTACTAAGAAAGACTGTTCTTCTCTTCTCTCGTGCCAAATCTTTTGTAGAAAACCACAAGAAAACTCTCTTCGCTCAAAAATATAAACCACGTTAACACATTCGAATTAAGAAATGGTCAAGATTCTATGATATTCGCCTGCATGGGATCATGATAGTTGTATTCATCATCTTGGATAGATGTTTGTTTGGATGAACACAACTGACCATGATTCTCTGTAGGCGTCTCATAGAGGGATTTAGCCATTGTACTGGGTCCATTTTGAAGATTAATATATCTAAAATAGTAAGAGTTATAATTTCTCGAGAATATACAGGAACTAGAAACACAACTTACCCAATCTGCAGCCATACAGCTCCACTCTCATGGAGATATAACTGTACCAAGTCTTCGGATGAATGCGAACGTAACGTGTTTTCAACGAAGGTCTGAACTTGTGAAATACAACGAGATTTCTTTCCATGTTACCTTGGAAGACCTAGAAGAAGAAGA